GTGTGCAAAATTTCAGGTCATTCGGACGTGGTTTGGTTGGGTTTTTGATCAAAAGCGGATTTCAGAAGATTTTAGAAAAGTTTGGCTTGAATCCGATGTGTTTTGGGTGATTTGATGTTATTCGAGGTGTTTTGATGATTGGAATAAGTTTGAATAAGGTATTAGGATGTGTTTGTGCCTTTGATTGAGGTCCCGGGGGCCTCGGGTGAGTTTCAGGTGGTCAATCGGATCATTTTGAAGTTAAGAAAGTTGCAGAAATTGCAGGTTCAGCAGTTGCAGGTATTTACTTTTTCGCGTTCGCGAGAGGACCTGAGGGAGGTGGAAATTTAGCCTTCGCGTTCGCGAGGCAGGTTATGCTTTCGCGAAGGGCTGCAAGATGGTGCATCGTGTTCGCGGGCGTGTAGTCGCGTTCGCATAGAAGGAATCGAGAGGCTGAGCTTCAGTGGAATTAACCTATCGCGTTCGCGATGGATGGAATGCGTTCGCGAAAGTTTGTTTTGTCAAAGAATCGCATTCGCGAGGGTCATGTTGCGTTCGCGTAAGAGGAAAATTGGTCAATGTAAATTTGTGCTTCGCGAACGCGAGGGTTTGACCGCATTCACGAAGAAGGAATTAATGCCTGGGCAGAAGGTTTTTAAACTCGTCTTGTCCGCGAGGGTTGAGTTTATTTCTTCCATTGTTGGTCGTTTTTGGAGCTTTTTGAAGGAAATTGAAGAGGGATTCAAGGGGAATCACTTGGAGGTAAGATTCTTGGACTTAAAACTCGTTATGTGAATTCCACCTAGAAAATCATGAAAATTAAGCCAAAAGTTGAAGAACTAGGGCTTGGAAATTTAGACTTTTGATTGGGGATTTGAAGGACCATTTGGAGTCGGATTTGAGAACTTTTGATATGTATGAACTCGTGAGGAGATAAGGAATCTATTGGTGTAAAAAATTTTGAATTCCGAGACGTGAGTCCGGGGGTCGGGTTTTGGTAATTTCGGGATTTGTGTAGTATTTTGATTATTTTTGCTTGGGTTTCGTTCCCTTAGCATATTTTGATGTACTCGTTCTAATTTTGGATAGATTCGATGCGAGTGGAGGCCGATTTGAGGGGCAAAGGAATCGCGAGCTAGAGATTTAGCCGGTTCGAGGTGAGTAGTGATTGTAAATGATGTTCTGAGGGTTTGAAATCCCGGATTGCACATTGTAGTGCTATATTGAGGTGAGACACAAGCTTGATGACGAGCGTGGGGTCGTGCACCATTGGGGATTATGACTTGGTCCGTCCCGATTGATGATTTTTACTACGTATTTAACTGAAATCTATTTGCTATCATCATTATTTGGGCTGAATGCCATATTTGGGCTTCGTTCCAACTATTCGAACCCTTCGGGGATTTTTATTGATATTTCCTCACTGTTTTGACTTTATACTTGAACTCAGTCATGTTATTTTCCACTGTTTTCATACTCAGCCATGTTTACTCAGTTTTAAGACTTAAATGATATTTTAAATGATGTTTGGGTTGAGAAACACTGTTTTACTATTGCCAAAGGGGCTTGTGAGTATTTTTGACTGAGTAAGGCCGAAGGCCTATGTCGTGAGGAAACATTGATACTGATTTGAGGCCGAGGGCCTAAGATATGTACGCCACGAGGTGGCTTGATTGATATGAGGCCGAGAGCCTAGTTTTGATGCAACGAGATGGCTTGTTATTGCGTTTGAGCCGTAAGGGGTCCCTCTAGGAGTCTGCACACCCCCAGTGAGCGTGGGTACTTATTGTGATGTGAGATTGGGCCCGAGGGGCTGGTATCGTTCTGAGATATTGCCTGAGGGCAGATTTGTTGATATTGTGCCCGAGGGGCGAACTTCTATTTGTTTACTTTACCTTAACTGTCTGTCAATTACCTGTTATTTGTTGAAAAAGGATTTTCTCTTAACTTTTCACTGGTTTACTGTTTTAAAATGGTTTTACTGCTTCATTATAGAATGCCTCATGCCTTACGCGTATTCTTACTTTCAGTCGTTATTTACATTTGTTACTCACTGAGTTGGAGTACTCACTTTACTCCCTGCACCCTGTGTGCAGATTCAAGCGTAGCTGGTCCCGCTCCCGAGTGCTGATCATTCCAGCTTCAGGTGGATCCTTCGAGGAGTTTTTAGGTAGCTGTTGGCATTCGCAGCCCGGAGCTCCTCCCTATCTCTTTTCATTTATGTCCTTAGTTCAGTACTAAGCTCTGTAGTTTCAATTGAGTATTCAGCGTTGTTAGATGCTCGTGACTTGTGACACCCTGGTTAGGGTTGTGTTGGGTTGTACTTCCGCATTTTATTAATATTATCTGTTACTTAGTATTATTAAATCATGTTTTAGACCGCTTTTATTTTGTTTAACTGTTTTAAAAGTGAATTGAGTTTAATTGGCTGTCCTTGTCTTCACAAGAGGCGCCATCACGACCGGGTTCGGATTTAGGGTCGTGACACAAACTTTAAAATCTGATCTGATATAAATGTGTTAAATCCGACCCGACCCGATCCGTGCACAACCCTAATCTCATGTCTCTAAAATGCTTAGGGAAATATTCAGTATACAAATTTTATAGTACTATTAATTANTGGGAAGGTGAATAGGGAAAGAGAAAATGTTGCTATTTATCACTACTTTTTAGACAACTAGTCTCTATGCTACCGATCTTTAGTCAATTATATTTATAAAAAAATAATTAATTCAGTTTACCAAATAAAAATGATGTGTTTTTTTGATACATAACACAAATATACGTATGGTAAAACCAAATAATTGCACTCTGGTCCAGTAGTGCTATCCCTATTTGTAGTTGATTGGTCACAAGAAAATTAAATATTATTATGAATCAGTTTCCTACATTATTCTCATTTATATCTGTTCTTTCATAATTAAATAGATGGTTTAAATTAATTTTTTTGAACAAACTCTCGTAGAATTTAATCACCAATTCACCATCTAAAATCCCACCAGGACGTAAAGAACAATACCCAAATTGAAACTCAAAAGATGCCACAAATCGGAAATTGTAGTTCCTTCCCTATTCACTTATACTGTAAAAAAAGAGATTTGTCGCTTTTCCTACAATAAAACATCAACATATATAGTTTCCACCTTGTGGCATCACTAATTAAGTACATTATATAGTACCAATAGTTAAATTTTGAAACTACTAAAGATAACCCTGTAAATCGAAATCTATTCATGCTTACTATAACTTGTGTGAGATAAGGAGAGAAATTTTGAAATTACCTGAGATCAATGGTCTTCAAGTAAAGATAGGAAAAATTTCAATAGGATCATCTGCAACCAAAAGATAGGCAATTTGCATCTGCATATCGAATCCTAACATTAAAAAGTTAATTTTTTTTTTATATAAAAAAGGGAATTTTAGTGTGCTCCAAGAAACGTTTGAAATATGCATTATGCAGCATGCTAATGAAAAGTTTTATATCTAGATTAAGGAACATGCGGTTTAAAGTGTTCTTATCCATGTGTAATTAGTATACACTTGAAACTTCAAAACTGATATGACATCGCATTTGAAATAGCTAACTATTGAAATCGGACACTAGTTCTTGTTCAACTAAGAGAAGGATATTAAAAATTCTAAACATGTATTATTAATTGACTTCGGTATCCAATATATTAATTAGATAGTCCCAAATACGATAATTTTATCAACCAACATGGATTTATTTTTTTTGTACAAATATATGTTATGAAAGGCAAGAAGGTCAATCAATTTTAGTCCATCAACATTTTGCTTTCTAGCCGTACTTTCATAAGTACTTATATATAGATAAAAATAGACAGTTGTAGATATAAATATATACGTTCTCAATTGGGAATTAGATATAGGGAAAAATTTGTACCAATAATAAGTGTTATAGTTTTTCTTTTAAGCTTTATGAACCGGTAAATCACTTAAAATTTGATCACAAGTTAAAATCAATCTATGTAGTACATTACGTTAGACACCTTAATTTTTAAAAGAAAACTATGAATATGCTTTTCTAATTCAAGTAGGACCAACTTTATAGGGTCGATGCATGTGTAGTTTAAATCGAAAAAGATTCCATCATTGAGTAATTTAATTACAATTAGATCCTGAAATTATACAAATATTTAAGAGCATAAAAGATATTTTAGTCGTTCAATATTTTGCACAAATTATTCGTGTTTTTATAATAATATAGATATAGATAGATAGATATAGATTAAAGTTAGAATTCTGCAAAAGAAATTCAATGTAACAAGAAAAAATTCTAATGTACAACAACATAACGATTTTGATATATCCTCCTTTAAAGGAGAAATTTAGGTTAAGATTAGTCCATCAATAACAAAGGAGATTAGGAGAAGATGAAAAGTGCTTCTAATAGATTGGAAATATACACTTAAACGATGCAAAGTGAAACTGCAACTATAAGGTTGCAACTCTAATATTAATTCAAACGAACTGACTATGAGAATAAAAATGCGATTGGTCTGGATGAAATCAATTAGTGGTGGATGAATTTGATTTGACGTTTAACAATATCATACTGCAAGCCATTTTAGTAGTACTATCTCTAAAAAATCTATGATATAAAACTTACACATATCAAGCCAATTTATCACTATTTAATGCACTATAACTCATTATATTCAGCAGAAAACTATGTCATTAAGAGAAGAAATCCATTTTTTTTGTGGTACTGTTCGAAGTTGCTCAAGTTCCCCCTTTATTATAGTTTGTATCCACTGCCATTAGCACATCGTTCGCATTTACCCTAGTTCAGTTAATAACACGGGTAAATGAGTTAACCCTACATGTTAACTAAAGGAGTGTAAATGTAGGAAGGTACTTATTAGGAACAAACTTTACTTGAAAGAGTATCGTATAAACATAAGTAATATTATAACAGCATATTCACTTGTCTCATCCAGCAAAAAGATAGTCTCTTCCTAGTTTTCACATGAAACGTCAACGTGACTAAAAACATTCAATAAAAATAATGAAACAGATTAACGAAAGAGAATATATATCAGTCCAGAATTTTTGGTACAATGATTTGCAGAACCACCCCAAAAAGAAACCCTTTTTCAAAGCTCTCTTCAAATCTAAAGGATATACATATTATGGTTCCAAAAAGTTAATTGAAAAGGCACAATGGCCCCTCAAACAAATAAAAAAAAAAAGGAGTTTGAGGGAGTTGGACCCCAACCTAATAAAAATGGATGCCCACTCTTTATATGTTCCTTTATATACAGATGAAAAAATCGAACCTAAGAAATATCAACCACAAATCCAGACTCCTGCAACTTCCCAGCTTTGAGCAACTTCAAATATGTAGTTCAATCCTTGACATCAGAATATATATAGGAATTTCGCTTCATGCTTTGATCAAAGGGACTTGAGATGCTCATGCGGCAGCGCGTCAGAGGACGGATTACACCTCGCCGTACTCGTTAAAATGGTGATAACGTTAACTGACTGCATGCACACTGGGTAACCTGGATGAGAAATTTGAAACCACAACGATGAGCAAAGCTACATCCCAAATGTGAAACCAGACACACACTCCTAAAGTGATTGTGCCATTGAGCAAGCTACGTTGCCAATCTGAAACAAAGCAACCAGCATATCTTTGACAATGACCTTACATTATGCCGCAGAAAACAAAATTTCTGCATAGTAAGCCGCAACCACTCCAAACCAACTTCACATTCTAGAACCCAGACTACATGTACTGAGCGAGCCATTGTTTGCACATATCAAGAACTGGAAGTGCATTAGCATGTAATGCCTGCGTTGAGACTCAAAGACAGAAAGAGAAATCAGCAAAGAAGTGGTAAACTTAGTCAGGACCCCTATCCTACAAAATATAATAGTAAAAAAGGAAAGAAAAGAAACATCTTCGCGCCTAAAAAACGCCTAAAAGTACCATATTCAAATTCCAGTAAACCTCATAAAAATATAGGTACGCATTTCATAAAGGTCGAATCAAATGGTATCTACTCTATTCTTCCAGTTTCTCAAAGGCATAACTAAGGAGACAAACGTCAAACACACCAAAACCATATATTTCCTGATCTATACCTATGAAAAAACAGATTCAAAAGTTCAGAAATCTGCTATTCCATGGAACCCCACATGCTGGATACTGGCTGCAGAAACATCTTGTAGAGGTAGAGACTAACTTGATAAGTACGTCGGAAAAAAAAAAAAAGCAGGACCGGAGTGTTTACAGAACAAATTTTCCATTAAAGATTAACCACCTTCAAATTATTTACCATAGCTGAAGGTATAAACACGCTGAGGATATCAAAGAGCCAAAATAACCAGCTGAGGTACATGGTTGTTTTCAGCTCTCAAGTTGACATTCCTAATTTGGTTATTAAGGTTCTAAATATTAATCACCCAAAACAACAACAACAACAACGACCCAGTAAAATTCCACTAGTGGGATCTAGGGAGGGCAGTGTGTACACAGACCTTACCCCTACCCCGAGGGAGTAGAGAGGCTGTTTCCGAAAGACCCTCGGCTCAAGAAGACGAAAAGAGACAATATATCAGTACCATCAAATTAATCACCTAAAACATTTACATATTTATCTTTGGCATCGGTTAAGAAGTCGTTGCATTAGTTTAGAATACCTTAAACCAATATGACGAGCTTTCCAGCAAACGGGCCCTCAGTATATGAACGGAAAGCGGTTAAAACATTATCACGCATGTGCATTCCTTGAAATATAAATACGTCGATTGGAAAAGATATTTAACCTCTGAAGTTCATGATCATAACGAACCTGATGTGCAACATACTGAACATCAGCCACACTTCCACTTCTGGATGCAATTTGGAATGCACTTTTGAGACGCCCGCAGACAACACAAGCAAGTACTTTCCTGGGAAAGCCAAGCTAAAAAATGAGGAGGCACTCAAAGTTTACCAGCTAGTTTTTAAATTAAGAGCATAGAAATTAAAAGGATATTATTGAATTGTGCAGACCGTCTCATCTAAAAAGCTTAACCTATTAGTTGCTTGATCTGTTAGAGAACATACACTTCACATTATTTATTTTACGTATGCACATGAAAATATTTTGTTGTTGACCTGATATTATTCATCTGCATATTGAAGTCATCATGTGCAATGCTAAGTAAATTTTTCCGAACTTTTGCAGCATACAAGATGCAACTTTACATCACCCGTGATCTCATCCTCAATGGTCTGGATAATCTCCAGACTTTAATTCCTTAAGATTTAGAGTAGATGCAACAACAACAACAACAACAAACCCAGTGTAATCCCACAAGTGGGGTATGGGGAGGATAGAACGTACTTCGGCCTTACCCCCACCTTCAAGAAGATAGAGAGGCTGTTTTCGAAAGATCCTCGGCTTAGGAAAAAAAAAAAGAGCATCAACAAGCACACCAATTAGAAAACCGAAGCAAAAATACAAAGATACAAAATTAGAACTGAGTATTGTAATCAGAAGGCCGGGATGAAAGCAACGACAAGTAAACACAGGAGTCAAGGAATACAAAAATACATAAATAATGCTAACTCATGTACTAAATCTACTGTTACAGACAAGGACAACGCTAGGCGACCTATACTAACCCTTTACCTTTATCCTCAATCTCCACACATTCCTATCCATTGTCATGTCCTCAGTGAGCTGAAGCAACGCCATATCTTGTCTAATCACCTCTCCCCAATACTTCTTCAGCCTACCTCTACCTCTCCTTATGCCCTCTAGGGCCAACCTCTCACACCTCCTCACTGGTGCATTCGTGCCTCTACTCTTCACATGCCCGAACCATCTAAATCTCGTCTCCCGCGTCTTGTCCTCCACAGGGACCACGCCCACCTTGTCCCGAATAACTTCATTTCTAATTCTATCTAGCATGGTATGCCCGCACATCCATCTCAACATCCGCATTTCAGCCACCTTCATTTTTTGGACAAGGGAGTCCTTGACTGGCCAAAACTCCGCCGCATATAACATAGTCGGTCTGACTACCTCTCTATAAAACTTGCCTTTAAGTTTAGGTGACACATTCTTATCACACAAAACACCTAAAACGAGTCTCCATTTCATCCATCCCGCCCCAATATGATGCGTAACATCCTTGCTGATCTCTCCATTCCCTTGTATAACTGACCTAAGGTATTTAAAACTCTCTCCTAGGGATGACTTGAGAGTCAAGCCTCACTTCTTCGTCCACCGCCTAAGTCGTCCCACTGAACTTGCACTCCAAGTATTCTGTCTTGGTCCTGCTCAACTTGAAAACTTTAGACTCCAGAGTCTGCCTCCAAATCTCTATCCTCTCGTTAACACCACCTCGTGTCTCGTCAATCAGAACAATGTCATCTGCAAATAACATGCACCACGGTACCTCTCCTTGTATGTGGCGCGTCAGCACGTTGATTGCTAAGCAAATAAAAATGGATTGAGGGTTGACCCCCCTGGTGCAACCCCATTATAACCGGTAAGTGTTCCGAGTCTCCTCCCACGGTCCTCACTCGAGTCTTAACTCCATCATACATGTCCTTAATAACCCTAATGTAAGCAACATGAACACCTCTAGCCTCCAAGCATCTCCATAGAACCTCCCTTGGTACTTTATCAGAAGACTTCTCTAGGTCGATGAATACCATATGTAAATCCCTCTTCCTCTCCCTATACTGCTTCATCAGCCTCCTAACAAGGTGAATAGCTTCCATAGTCGAGCGTCCTGGCATAAATCCAAACTGTTTTTCAGAAATATCCACAACCCTCTTCAACCTCAGCTCCACCATCCTCTCCCAGACTTTCATAGTATAGCTTAGTAACTTGATGCCTTGGTAGTTGTTGCAACTTTGGATATCACCCCTGTTCTTACACAGCGGAACCATCATACTCCATCTCCATTCTTCGGCCAACTTCTTCGTCCTAAAAATGACATTAAATAACCCAGTAAGACACTCCAAGCCCGCCCTACCCATGCTCTTCCAAAATTCCACCGGGATCTTGTTAGGGCGGTCGCTCTCCCCCTGCTCATCTTACGCATAGCCCCCTCAACCTTCTCGACTCTTATACGCCTACAATACCCAAAGTCCCGACAACACTCAGAGTGTTCTAAGTTGCCTAGCTCAATGTTCCTATCCCCCTCTTCGTTTAAGAGTTTATGGAAGTAAGTCTGCCATCTACGTCGAATACGTGCCTCATCCAACAAAACTCTGTCGTCCTCGTCCTTGATGCACTTCACTTGGTCCAAGTCACGGGCCTTCCTCTCTCGCACCTTGGCTAGCCTGTACAACTTCTTATCCCCTCCTCTACCTCCGAGTTCTTCATACAAGCGTTCAAATTTAGAGTAGATGCAATAGTAGAAAATATACTGCCCTGTTTTTGAAAGAGTCTAACTTGCATCCTGATGGAAGTACAACTTTCTTAAATAAACTGACCTGTGGCTACTAGTCAACATGTCAATCAGGCGGTCAGGTCGCTCTTTGTGCTTGTTTGCATACACATTGATGGCTGCTCCCAAAACCTAAAAAATAATAGAATCCGTTAAATATGCCATCAGATCATTAAAAACTAGTGTAAATAGAAACCAAGCAGTACAAAACTAAGTTTAGATAGAAATACTACTATCCTTAAAAATCAGATTATATTGCTGGAAAAATAATAGAATCCATTAACGTTTGGCTTCTTGGGATGTTCTTATGCAATTCTACTGGGAGGCTTCTTGGGATGTTCTTATGACAGAACGATCAGAGGAGGTTATCAATTCCGAGCTTTAGTACTTGGCTTAGTGACTGTTAAACAATCATGAAGCATAAGATCATTGAAATATGTTACCATTGTGGGTGCTAGTTAAAGCTGTTTTAAAATATAACAGTTGAACCGGGAGAAGTGGAGTAGACTTGATACATGTCACCTTAACAACAAAATAAATAGTACACTAGTGTAGTATCTATGCCCCCAACCCCACACACACTTTATTATAGTTGACCCTCCCAAATACGAGCATTCCTTAAGAAATGAGTTATAAAAAAGAAAAGGGGGAAAGACAGGTCAATCATCTGTTGCGGAATAGACAAAGCAACACACATTGAAGACAACTGCATTCATAAAAATACCTGATCCCAATCATCATCATCAATGGTGCCTTTAATGTTCCTAAAGAACTCTGTGAGTTGGCTTCCCCTCTTTCTCTCAGCAAGTGATGCAGCAACACCAGCATATATGTCAACAGCTGAAACAGTTGAGCATAAACCAATAGTAAGTTCTACTACGGGAGCATACCCTGGAAAAGTTTTGAAGAAAGTTGAAAGTACATGAACTACCTGGAAGGTTGAACCCATGGATCACCTGGAAAGCCAAGTCGAAATTCCTCTCAGCAAGAGTCTCTGCAATTTCACACCTCCTCCTGCATTTCAACAAATATAAATTATCTAGTCATGAGGGATAATGTTGGCAATGTTAAATATATACATTAGTATATATCTAAGTCAATAATATAAAAATTCTTCCCAAGTCTGTTATTATTTAATAGTATTTGGTATTTATGTAATCTTTCTAAAGTAATAACTTCCTTTATTTCATGTAGTCTAAAGTTTCATCACCTCATGTAGTCTAAACTCCTCTATAAACCTCATGTAGACTAAACTCCTATATAAGAGCCCTGTTGTACATTTTTCACACTCCATACAAAAAGAATTCTCATTTTACATGGAATTAGAACCTCAACCATCTTTATAGGAAACCTAAATAGTCCTGCGTGGTTAAAGTTTTTCCCTTGTCATAATTTAGTGTTCTTGCATCTTTCTAGTAACCGTTCCTGTGGCACCACCTATTCCAGCTATTTTCAAGCAAAATATTTTCCAACACTTCTTTTTCTCTTCTACCAGAGTCCGAGTATAGAACCCCTACGCTGAACATTGAAATTTTGGTTAGTGTCCCAGAAAAACTTCTTTTCTTTTTCTTCATTTTTTTTGAGCTTGGTAACATTTCATTGAAAACACACGCACAAAAACCCAAGACTAACACACCTGAAAGTTTCAGGATCATTTGGATTCCCAAAAAGTGAATGTTTCCACTGTGGTCCTTCTGCATCATTAAAGCATTTGACAACATCTATCTGCAAATCAGGAAGCATAAACAATCATGAACTCAAGATAGACGTGAAACAACTTAAGCATCAAACCCTTATGAGTGCTAATGATCATGTCCAATCCACATACTGAATGACGTTAGAAGCATTATCATTAGATCTGATGTCAGAAGTCATTTATAAATCCTGTTTCCTCCATCCTCTCTAATCAGTAAATGGCTCATTTTGACAGAAGGAATTTTCCTAGTAATGAACGAGAGTTACATGCTATCGATAGAGGTAAGAAATGAAATGCAGGATTCAAACATCTTGCTTTTCTGAGAAGAACCTCCCGTTATTCTGGATTCTGACAGAAGTTATGTGGGAAATTAAAAGGGCTATCTTTCAGAGCATCAGCTCTCGGATAACAGAGAATAAGGTTCTGAAAACAGAACATCAAAAATGAAAGAAGCAACAATG